GATGAGTCACTGCTGGGAACCCTTGAATTTGACACTCCCAAAGCTGCCGCCCTGCCCAACCCCACAGTCTGAAATTCACAAGGGAGAGGCCTCCCACACCCATCCCTGCTCATTTTCGTTGGTAGGAGAGCTGGAAGCCTTGTCTCTGGCCTCAGCTCTTTGATGAAGGAACTGAGTGACTTGCCCATGCTTCATCCGCCTGGGAGCCTGTTTCCCAGAGGTACAAGAAATAAGGGACCTCAGACACCCGCTGTGAGGTGATGAGAGAACAGACCACGCCCAGGACCAGCACTACTCTCCACCTCTATTTCTTTAGCCGTCAGTTTCCTCATCTGTAAAGGTTTGTTCTTTCCACGTTTCAGGTCAAGCAATCCATGTGCGATCCTGAGAGCTCCTGGGACCTCCCACCTGTACCTCCAACCCCAGGTCTTCCTGTCTGTTTCTTGCATCCTGGAGGGTGGAGATGGATGTTGTCCCTAGGCCCACAGTCAGCCAGCCACTTCTGACCAGAAGTCTGGCTCTTCGTGGATACTACCGTGTGCTAGCGCTACCCGTCCCCCGCCCTCCGCCGTGTTTGACTCAACTAAGGACCAGGCCGTGGTAAATTGGACCCCGTTCAGCCTGTTGTAGAGTCAGTGGGGACTTTGCAGCTGGTGTCCCAGTGCGTATCTGGCGCGCCCTCTAGAGGCCACTCTGCTCAGATTCTTGGTCCACGGTCATAAGACTCTTACTGGTGTCTCCTGCCACCCAGCTTGCAGCAGCTTCCCATAACCTAAAAGGTCTCTATCACAGCCGCCTTACACACAGGCTTCCTGGAAGCCTCCCCGACTGCGGCTGCGCACTCCGCCCCATTACCATGGAGACTGCTCGTACACAGCTTCCCTTACCCTTCCACCTTGTACTGACCCTCCAACGGGACTGGTGCCCGCTTAGGAGGGCCTGGCCCTGTGGCAGATGCCCATGAACATCGAGGCCCCAACAAAGCTGGCCGTGGGCAGAGTGAGGTTCTTCGGGAAACACCACGGGGAGGTGAGCCCCCGGGGCTCTGACCAGGTTTGGTGGGGTCTCTCCAGAGCTCAAGTATAGACTCTAGAATTATCTTTTCTTTTTAGTTTTTGAGACAGGGTTTCATTGTGTGGCTCTGGCTGTTCTGGAATTCACCTCCAGCGTACTGGGATTCAGGTGTTCGCCAGGCTTTTTTCTGTTTAAGGGTTTCACTATGTAGCTGTTTAGCCAGATAACTCCCCATGGATCTGTTTTGTCTTTTGAGGCAGCATCAGGCTGCTCAAAATGCAAGCTCAAACTTGAGTCAGTTCTCCTGCCCTCCCTGGTGCTGGGATTAAAGGTTTGCACCACTATGGCCAGCTTGCCAATCTTCTGTTTTGTTTTTGCTTTTTTTTTTTCCCAGACAGAGTTTCTGCCCTGGAACTTTCTTTGTAGACCAGGCTTGCCTCTGCCTCTCAAGTGCTGGGATTAAAAACTCAGGCCACAAGGCTAGGCTGAAATTCACTTCCTGATTTGGAACTTGCTTTAGGATTTGTATTCGCCTATGTTCCGAGGGTCCTGGCTATGGAGTGGGAGCTGGAGTTTATGCCCTCACCCTGTGTTCCTGGGCAGGTTAGAGCTGAGGGGACAAATAACATTTTGACAGGCATGGGACCACTTTTGCCCCCTTTCTGACTTCCAGGTCAACTGCTCTGCCTTCTCCCCTGATGGCCAGACCCTGCTCACAGCCTCAGACGATGGCTGTGTGTATGTATGGGAGACAAGGAGCAGGCGGCTGCTATGGAGAATGGCAGGCCACAGAGGTGGGACTTGGCCACCTGGACCCTATCTTGGTGACCTAGGACTTTAGGGGGGAGAGGGTTGGAGCAACAGGGGAGGGAGACACCAAACATAACACTAATGGGGCCCAGCCACTCACTCTGAGCTCAAATCTTGTTTTGCTTTTTTGGAATAATTTGTGTAGTTTTGGCTGTCCTGGTACTCTACTCGTCTGTGTGTGCCACCACGGCCCAGTCAGATCTTTTTTTTCTAATCCCTAGACATGCAGTTCAATGGTACATTCTCCAGAACCTTCTTTGGCAGAACCATACCCCATTGCTATCCATCCCTGATACTGTTGGACTTCTCTAGAAGCCGCTTCCCCCAATGGGATACATCAGTGTTTGACTTGTTGCCTGCTGACCCGTACATGTGAACTTTTTGGACCGTTTTCTTGGCCACAGGATAGATAAGCCTGAGGGAATGATGGGACAGGGTGACAACCACCGAGCCAGAGAACCTAGGTGGGCAGTGCGGGTGTCACAGGAAGGAGGGGTCTGAATCTGATGATGCTGTGTTCCAGCTGCGCTCAGGTCAAGCTGTGAGGCTAGAACCAATGACAAACGTCAAACTGTAGGCTAGAACCAATGACAAATGTCAAACTGTAGGCTAGAACCAATGACAAACGTCAAACTGTAAAGCCAAGTGTTCCCTGCCTCTTCAGGCCCAGTCAAGTTTTGCCGCTTCTCCCCCGATGGCCGCCTGGTTGCCAGCTCCTCCTGTGACCACACTGTTCGTCTGTGGGATGTGACAAGATTCAAGTGTCTACATGTGCTGAGAGGTAAAAGGGCCGCCTTGCCTAGGAGCCACCGGCTCCTTTGTGGACTGTGTCCTGTCCTCTTCCCCACCTTTGGGCTGGTGTCTGCAGGTCACCAGCGGAGTGTGGAGACAGTCAGCTTCAGCCCTGACTCAAGGCAGCTGGCATCAGGTGGCTGGGACAGGCGGGTCATTCTCTGGGAGGTACAGGTATGAGAAGATGGGGCCTGGGTCAGAGTCCCCAGTGCTTTTCCTCCCTGCATGGCAGTTCCCAGCCTGCACTGCTCTTCCCTCCTGTGGCAAGGCCCAGCAAGTCCAGTAGCCCCAAAGGCTAGGCCTAGTAAAGGACCACAGGCTCCCGGGCTGCCCCCTCCATCTCTGTAGCTCAGGCTCTCTCTACAGTCTGGCCACAATGTGCGCCTCTTGGCTGGGCATCGTGATTCTGTGCAGAGCAGCGACTTCTCCCCCACTGCAGACGCTTTGGTGAGCCTCATCCCAGCCCCACCGTCAGTGGCCACAGGAGTGGTTAAGAGCTGGCTCATACTCAGGGTCACTGCCCACAGGCCACTGGCTCCTGGGACTCAACTGTGCACATCTGGGACCTGCGGGTGGCAAGCCCAGCCGTCTCCTACCAGGAGTTAGAGGGCCACACCGGCAACATCAGCTGCTTGTGCTACTCCACATCTGGCCTCTTGGTGAGTGAAGCCACCTGGGCTCCAGCAGGTCCCGGTGTCTCCCAGACCCTCAAGGGTACAGGCCATTGTGCGGCTCACTGAGCTCAGCGATGTCTATTTAGGCATCTGGCTCCTGGGACAAGACCATCCGCATCTGGAAGCCCACAACCAGCAGCCTTCTTTTCCAGCTCAAGGGACATGCCACCTGGGTGAAGAGCCTAGCCTTTTCTCCCGATGAGCTGAGGCTAGCCAGTGCTGGTTACTCCCACACAGTAAGTCCACCTAGGTACCCCTCCTCCAGACCTTCCCATGCTAGATGATGCCCATCGACCTAGATGCACAGCAAGGGCACAAAGGACTGGGCTGTCCCAGTGGTGGCGCCAACAATGCTAACCTACGAACCTCTCACACTTCTGTGCCTTTAAAGCCTGCAGAAGAGCCCAGGCCACGCCTGGAATTTGGGAGCACACTGACAACTCCCAAGTCTGCTTGTTTTTACATCCAGGTCAAAGTCTGGGACTGCAACACAGGAAAATGCTTGGAGACCCTGAAGGTAAGGCACAGTGCTGACCAGGATCGGCACAACGACTGGCACGACCCGCCAACTCTGACTGATGCTGTGCTCCCCACAGGGCCTGCTCGATGTGGCCCACGCTTGTGTTTTCACCCCCGACGGCAAACTCCTAGTGGCAGGGTCTGCTGATGCGGCAACATGACAAGCCCACTGCTCAAGTCTCAAGAACCTCTTCCGCGTAACTTACCACAGGCCTGAAGTAATGCAGCCACCAGGATCTTGGCTGCATGCAGGGATTACCCCGTCTGTCATCATTGGCCATAGCTAAGTGGTCACCTGGTCCCCACCCCCACTGGCCAGGCACAAAACAAGAAGCAGAAAGTTAGCCAGTCTTGCACTTTATTGCCCTTCCATTAGGCCTTGACCGCATACTTGCGTAGCGGGTACAGCCTCTCCTTCCGCTGCTGCTTCTTTGTCTTCAGCTTCTCCTCGTGCTTGGTGAGCCGGCGGCGCATGGCTCTCGTTTTCTTGGGTCGCAGGTCCAGAGGCTTGTACTTCTTGCCCTGGGACAGAGAGAGAATCTGATTACCAGGGGCCACTGGGAAGACAGTAAGGCAGAATACGACGGGACAGCGAGTTGGACGGCACAGCTGGGAACTGCCCATAAGGTGCTGGACGGTTTCTACTATTCGTACACCAAGACCAGAGGGCTAAGTTTCACTTTCCTATGTATCAACTGCCAGTGACTAAGTGAAAACCACAGCACAGCCTAAAGGGCACAAGACACACTGGGGTTGTGATGATTACTATTAATTGGGTGGTCCTCCAGGCACAACCTTTAAGGGAGCTGTCATCCTCATCTCCTAGGCTTTTCCAAGTGTTCTACAGTATTAGTTCCCCCACCCCCAGGACACAGGTTCTACAGGTAAGGCTCCTACTTGGAGAAGAGCAGAAGCCCCACCAAGAACTTCAGGACAAAATGGCCTCCAAAGCAAGCTCCCCAGAAGCCAACTAAAAAGCAGAGATTAAGGCACGCACAAGTCTTTAACAATATGTCATCAGCCAGGTGCTGGTGGTGTATGCTTATTAAAAGCATTAACCTACCACCTGGGAAACAGAGGCAGGCTGATCTGAATCCTAGGCCAACCTAATATACACAGAGAAACTGTCTCAGAAAACAACAACAACAACAAAAAAAACCCCGAAAAAAAGTAAAAATAATCATGGGGCTGAAGAGATGACTCAGCAGTTAAGACCACTCACTGGCTGCTCTTCTAGAGGTCCAGAGTTCAATTCCCAAACAACCACATGATGGCTCACGACCATCTATAGTGGGACCCGGTGTCCACTTATGTCATGCAGATAGACCAATCACATAAATATTAAATAAATTCTCAAAAAAAATGTGTAGTCAGGCTGAGCAGTGGTTAATGGTGGCACTCAGGAAGCAGAGGCAGGCAGATCTCAAGTTCACGCCCAGCCTGGTCTACGGAGAGACCCCGTTCTCAAAAACAAAAAAGAAGAGGGCTGGAGAGATGGTTCAGTGGTTAAGAGCTCTGCCTGCTCTTCCAAAGGTCCTAAGTTCAATTCCCTGCAACCACATCATGGTGGCTTACAACCATCTGCAGAGAGATTTGGTGCCCTCTTCTGGCCTGCAGGGATACATGCAGGCAGAATACTGTATACATAATAAAATTTATCAACAAAAACCCTTTAGCTGGGTGCCTTTAATCCCAGCACTTGGGAGGCTCTAGAGGCACTAGGATCTGTGTTCAACGCCTGGTCTATAGAACAAGTTCCAGAACAGGCTCCAGAGAAACTGTCTCGAAAAACTAAAACGAAACCCAAAAATTTGTGACCAGACAGTGGTGGCAGGTGCACGCCTTTAATCCCAGCACCTGGGAGACAGAGGCAGGCTGATCTCTTGTGAGTTAGAGGCCAGCCTGGTCTACAGACCAAGTTTCAGCTACACAGAGAAACCCTGTCTCGAAAAACCAAAAAGTTCCTAGAAAGCTATGTAGCATGGTGTGGGGGCACAAAGGCACCTTCACCCATTCGCTTACTGCGTTATATCCCTACAGCACCCACTAAACACACCTATCTATTGTTCTTTATAAACAGATGGCTAGATGCAATCAGTGCCCACACAGCACAGTGCCTGCAACCCAGCAGTGAGGCAGAGGCTCTGTGAGCTCGAGGTTACCCTGGTCTGCAAAATGAGATCTGTTCTAAAACGAAAAAGCACAACCCCCAACCTTACTTTTTGTGGTCTGGGGGTAGCTCAGTGCTGGTTTCCTTACTTGCCTGACATTTGAAACATCAGGGTTTTAACAACCAAGCCCCACCTAAATAAAAAGCCATCTTCAGTCACATATATGCTCCGGAGTCACGGAGAACCACAATGTTTCACCTAAGTTCCCTAAGTTCAGTTCCCTGATCCTCAGAAACTGAGGAAGATTTCTCCTCACACCATGACAGTTTTCTGATCGATATGCCAAATCCCAATACTAATTTGCTCTACCAGATGGCTTCAATTAAGGGGAGAATTATCTTAAAATGATGAGGCTCCCTCCAGAACAATTTCTTCTGGACACAACAGCCCCAGCCACAGGAGTGAATCTGTGTGGCTCCTCAGCCTTCCTTTGCCCCTATACTGACAAAGGTCGAAGAGAGGCATGGGTCCCTCAGTTTACCAGCAAGTGGCAGGTAAGACAGAAACAGTGACAGAGACAACACCCGAACAGTCAGAGGCCAGGGTTCCAGCTCTGACCCGCAGCAAAACAACCCAATGGCTTCAACACAGCATAGCCGAGAAGGCTGGGTCCAAAGCCAGTGCCCACATCGGAAGCCCACTCTCAAAACTGACCCGTTGACACTAATAGAACTCAAGTCAGTGCGGGAAGCTGATAACTGGTTAAACTCAGGCACAAAAATTGGGAGGGCACCCTTCCTCCCACGTACCCCCAAACCTCTCCACAACAGCTCCAGGCCAGTGCTCACCTTGTAGAATTTCCTGAGGTTTTCCTTTTGAGTCTGGTTAATGACGGTGAGGACACGGGCGATGGATTTGCGGACAACTCGTCTGTGAAAACAGATGTCTGTGAATTCCAAGTGCCAGCTTATGTTAGTACTCCCCAAGTCCCCATCTATATCACCTAGTGGGCAAAGTCCTGGAGGCAAGGACAAGTTTGTCAACAGGCTCTCCAGGAACACGTATACGGAAAACTAAGGCAGCTAAGACAACGAGAAACCGTCTTTTAACCGAGGCCATGCTATGAAATGGTAACTAGTCTAAGGAAGCGCACCGTGCAATCAACACGTGTGGAGAGAACACAGAAGCAGGCTGAGAGCAATTTGTCAGAGGGCATGGGCTCAGCATATAAATTTCCTTATGTTTAATCCTCTACTCACCCTCAAGGCTGTCTGGGGTGGAGTACTGGTGGCCTCCATTAAACCCAACCCATGTTCTCTTCTCAAGCCCTCTTGGTCCTTACCATGTTCCTCTAGTCCTCCTACAACCCATGTCTGAGTCCAGGTGCGTGGCACCGCCATGTGCCTTCCAGAATTCCCAGTTCTTTAAACTACGTAAATTAGCCAAGGACGATTGGTGGGAAAAACCGCAAGGGGCCAAGGCAGAGAAGGGTGTGAATCCAGCTAGGACCTCAAGAGTCACTTACATCTTGGAGAGCTTGGACGCGGCGCCGCCTGTCACCTTGGCAACGCGAAGCTGGGATAGCTCCACCTTCAAATCGTCCAGTTGTTTCAGCAGCTCCTCCTTCTTCTTGCCGCGCAGGTCCCGAGCCTTAATCTTGGCCTGTACGAGAGGCGACTCTGTGGGTCACCGAGCGGAAGCTCCCGCTTTCACCGCGGCCGACCGAGGGACCATGACCGGGTAGGGTACGCGGTCTGTACTGGTCCGAAGCAGGGCCAGCCGTACAAAGCCAAACCGCAGGCCTCGGACACTCTTTGCGTTCCCCGCTCACGCCCCGCGCCGCGATCCCCACGCGCTCCCCCGCCCGGATGGCACCAGATTCCCGTGGCCTTACCATGGCTGCGTTGCTCACTGCTACGGCCGCCTGGTCCGAAAGAAAGAGGAAGAGGCGGGGTTGACTTCCGTAACTACTGCCGGGTGGCGCCGAGCACGGCCAATAGCGTCGCGGTGTGGGAGGCCCGCCCCGCCCCACCTCGCCTGTGCGCTTTCGAGTCGGAGGTGCCCCCACCTTCCTGGGTATCCTGCCCGGCCTATGTTGGCTGTCTCTAAGCTCTGCCGCTGGGCAAACAGCCTTGGGCTTGGCAGCACTTTGCTGGAGATAGCGTAGTGAAAGCTGCAGCCGGCCACTCAGTTGTTCGGGAAACCTGCCCTGGTCCCCTCTAAGCCACCCGTGGGTGGATCTGTGTGTACGGAGGCCATGAGGTGTGGGCTTAATGCTTTGAAACTTTGAGACAGGATCTCACTGTATGTCCGTGGCTGGCCAGGAATCTTCCCAGTGCTAAGATTGGAGGTGGTCGGGGCTGGAGAGATGGCTCAGAGGTTAAGAGCATTGCCTGCTCTTCCAAAGGTCCCGAGTTCAATTCCCAGCAACCATATGGTGGCTCACAACCATATGGTGGTTGAAGACAGTATATGTACTGGAAATAGTACATAACTACGAGTGATTTCTTACCTGTGAGACAGTCCTCTGAGGATTAGAGAAGCTAACCTGACAACCTGCAAAGCTGATATGTAGAAAGTATCATTGATGTTAACATGGTTAATGTGGCCACAGCTCGTCCCCACAGTCCCTCCACAGCAACACAAACTAGGTCTGCTAGGTATCTGTCTATATGGCCGGGGATGTCTGCGTGGGGTGTCTGCGTGGGGGGAGTGGTGGGGTGGCACACACCTTTGATCCTAGCACTTGGAAGGCAGATGCAAGTGAATCTCTGTGAGTTCCAGGACACCCAGTGCTACATCCCAGTGCTGGGATTAAAGGAATGTGCCACCACCACCTGGCTTGACCCAGATTTTTTTTTTTAACTATGGCTGCTAGAAGTCCATTTGTAGTGCCCGCTGGAGGACAGAAGAGGGCGTGGGGAACCTGAAATTAGGTGCTTGGTTGCAAAACACCACGTCATATGGGTGTTGGAAATTGGGAATGGAACCCCCGTGTCTCTGGAAGAGCTACCAGTGCTCTTATCTGCCGAGCTATCTCTCCAGTCCCTCCTCTAGAATATCTTGGTCAGAAGAAATTTAGTAGCAGAAATTAGATTTAACAGGGGAATGGCCTCTAATAACCGAGTGAATGAAATGTACCTCATGTTCATGATATGAAATCTGACATGGTGGCGCACCCCTGTAATCCTGCTTTAGCAGGCCAGTGGCGGTGCACGTCTTTAATCTCAGCACTCAGGAGGCAGTGGCAGTTGAATCTCTGTAAATTCAAACCCAGTCTGGATTACATAGTGAGTTTCAGGACAGCCAGGGCCACACAGAGAAACCCTTCTTGAGGAGAAAAAAAAAAATCTGTGCATTTAGTGAAACCACGTCTCAAAACAGAAAAGACTTG